AAATTAATTGAAGTCAGAAAGCCACTCGATACGAATACCAAATTTCAATTTCATCTTACCTTTTTTAATTGTTTTAGAAGGGAACTAATGTAGGAATTATTCAGAAATTAAAAATACAAAAACATTCTTTTTTCACCCACTTTACTTGCCAATATCTTCGTTATCTTTGGATCAATCTCCAAGACGAGTTGTGTTCGGTCAATATAAATCGGCGTCTATTAAAAAACGAGTAACATCAATCATGTTGTAAATTTTCTGTTCTCTCTATTGGGGCATAACAAAAATATATTACGCAATTTTAAAATCATTTCTTTCTGCAAAAACAAATTTACCAATAAGTTTTTGCTGCGCATTAAATCCTGTTTCCTATGGCATTACAACCTAAGATGAGCCTCGGCGTTCTTTATCTTCTGGCTCCATTGTCTGCTGCTACTCTTCGTTACATTCTCATCTTCAATAGCTCGTATGGATCATAGGACATTTCATCTTCCCAGTGTTTTCGGAGTCTTTTCCCATTTACATCAGCGTATCATATCACCGTCGTATCATAAAATGATACGCAACGATGCAACGTATTATCAATGTATTCCGTATCGTCACTGGGTATGTGGTACGAACCAAGAGTGTTCAGTATCTCGTGTAACGCAACACGTCCAAATACGATTCAACTCCGTATCGTATCATTTCTTTCATGTTACGGTGAAAACCCGACAAATAGGAGATCGGACTCGTTGCGTATCTTTGTATCATGTTTTGATATGCAGCTATGCAACGTTTCCCCGTACACACTAATACGTTAGCTTTTGAAGTTTCATGAACTGTTCGAGAGTGCTTCTCCGAGGAGTTCATACAATTCGTTGTTATAATATATTTGAATGATTTGATTGATTTTCCTTTCCAATATGCTTAGTATATTTTTGTGCTCTCTGTCACATAGCAGCTCTTATAATTGTTTTATATACTTTAAGTTTATTGCTACGATTACGATGGGTTTTTTTGATTATAGTCTGTGAGATAGTGCAAAGTAAACTAAGTTCGCAAGGGTGATCCTTCTGAGAATTTCTTTGTTTTGCGTTCCATTCGAGCTTCATCACCAAGGGGATTGATGTGTCGTATTATAATTACATATTATATGTTGTGAACAAGATGCGTCTCTGCCTTCGTTGTAAAAACTCTATACAAAAGTAACTAACTTGTGTTTATTCAAACAAAAAGATAAATATTCCTTATAAAATATAAATATGTCATAAGCATAGTAATAGATAAATACTTATAAATAGATAAAGACTTTGTTGTGCTTGTTTATTACTGCACAATTTATGAATATCTGGACGAATCGATGTTAATTGGCATATCATTTTCAGCATCAAGTCGATTTCTGTACTTCGTTTTTGTAGTGACGTATGTAGAAGGTTGTTACGATTCCTTTACGGCGCGTTTCGAAATTTCCGGATATTCATCCAATAATTTTATCCAAAATGGACCAATGTCATCATATGCAAATGTAGATTTTAATGTGGTGTCGGTACGTATATCATCTATAAGTTGTGTTCTCTTTCCTTAATTGGGAAGGTATCCACACCACTGCACTGATTAAAAGGATTTTCAACCCAACTTAAATTATTGCAAGTAGGGGGAAAATATTCTGGTCGAATACGATATTATTGGCTGCTAACAAATCGTTTAAATTAGCAAAACATTCTGTACTATTTTTGGTGATGCATTCCTCTCAAAGCGTAAGTTTAAATTTTATCGAGTTTACTTTGCTATCGACCTTACAAATTGTAGTATTTGGTCCTCGAAGTGAAAGATTAACGTCGTTCATGTACTAAAATATATAGCATTGGGACCCTATATCCAACTTATAAATTGTTATAAACTCTTGGTATGTTTCTTAATTCTTGTGATTGAGATCCGGCTACAGAGAGAGTGTGGAACCAAAAATTGCAAGAGCTGCTAATAAACATGGCATCACGTTATACTGCCTTCCAAGTAATAAACTCATGAGTTGCAGTCTATAATAAATCAGTCTTCTAATCATTTAAAACCTTTTGAGTTGAAGAAATTCTGGTGTTTTACAATAGGAACAAAGCCAGCAAGAAAAACTAGCAATTGAGGAAAAGTGATTTTAGAGAAGTTTTCCATAAGGTGAGGACTATAGCTTTGTATGTAATGCCTTCAGGGATACTGGGATCTATCCTTCCGACCGTTATTCCTGATAACGGTAGTTTTTTACTCCTTCCCATACAACATATTAAACATAGTCTTCAACACTGAACAACTTGGAGTAGCACACACGTGCTACTCCAAGAGAAGAAGACTCATCTTCTGACTTCAGTAAATCTGAAAACAATTCCAGCGTATCCTCTTTAGTGGAAATAGTACCATTAGAAACACACAAATCTCATGCACAACAGATTACATGCAGATTATGGTGGATGTGTGAGTACTCTATCGTTGATCGCTGACCTCTACTATTGTTAAAGTATATTTGTGTTGTTCTCTATGTGGGAAGTAGTTTTATTCCCAAATTGGGCAAAATTAAGAGCCGGGATGCTATTCCTGATCATGTCGGGATAATTCGCATTCAACAAGGGAAGCATAAACTGCTGTTTGGAGGCAGACTGCATTGTACATTGTGCAAAAAGCGGTTGATGGCTGAAATAGGCTTTCTTACTACGCTACTAGTAGCGTTTAAATACAAAGTAATATTATTAGAGTTTATTACAGCATAAATCTGGTCATTACTAATAACGTAGATTTTTAAGGGTTACCATACAAAGTGAATATATTTTCTTCCACACTAGAATTCCTAGAAGAGCACGTACATTCTCATGTATTTCATCTTCTTATCATTTTCGGGGCCTCCCCACTGGTCTTTTCTCGTATATTCGGCTGTCCAAGCAATGCCTATTGTAACCCTATTAAAATAGGGGTTGTTTGCGGTGTTTATTCTTCTGTGAATTTCGGCCTCTTCCATACCATCTCAAGTAAGCTTCCCTCCCAGGTATATGTGGTGATACACTGCCAACGTTACCGCGTTTTTCTATTAGTATTTTCGTTTTACACCAGTTTATCTCCAGACGGATACGTTTAGCATGCAGTTTTAATTCTGAGTATGCTAGTCTTGCCGTGTTACTGAGTTTCCTTCCTTGTAAAGTCTTATTGATTAGCACGTATTCCTTTCCGATCTCTATCTGTCTTACTATATACTCCAAAAACAGATTGAGTAGAGTAGACCAGCCCGTCACCTTGTTTAAAGCCTTTCGAGATATTAGACATATTTGTTAGTTGGTTTTGGATTCGCATCACTGTTACTGTGTCTTCCATTGTCGCTTTTATCATTTTGACTTTGACTAATTTATGTGGTATCTCCAGTTCGAGCAATATCTGGTGAAGTAATCAATCTTTGCTGTAAACTTTTTCTATCAATCGAATCATAAGCCTATTTGAAACCTACGAAGACGATTATACTACAATGTCTTGTATAAAGGTTTTTCGTAGGGTTACTACAAAAACTTGATCCTATGATGACCTGCCACATCTGAATGTCACTTGATATACACCATTTTTATTTTCTGCCAGAAATTGTAGGCGTTGGTTAATGATGTAAGCAAATATTCCGCTATAATTAGCACATTTTAATTTATCTTTCATTAAAAGATAAGGCATACTATAATGCTTTTTTTCCAGTCCTCCCATACTTTCATTATCAGTGCATAGATAGATTTGTGGGGTGTCCATCAATTAGTTTATAGGTTTCTTCTATTCTTGGCGCCTAGTTATTCTTCTGGGCCTTGATTTCTTGTTCGATATCTTCTAGAACTGGTGTGTCTATCCGTTTTTTGGGTTTGTATCCTTCTCTCGTGGTTTTCAGGTATCTATATAAACTTATTGGATTATTCAAAATGAAAGTGGCTTTCAGGAACGGAGGCCACTTCCATTTTTGCAATAAGGTCGTTCTTATACTACCTTTTCTTGCTTCTGCCTATTTATCTGCACTTTCTCTAGCCGCATACTGTGTGATTCTTTTTTCTTTGTCTAATGTCGCTGGTGCTGATTTCTCAATTGTTGTTTTAATTGCTTTCCAGTGGTCGTCTATTTGTTGATGTGGTTACCCTATTAGCTGTTGCGTTTCTCGTTCAAACCTTTCTTTAACTTCTGGTTTCTTTGATGTTTTTATGTTTTTCATTGTCCAATTTTTCTTTTTTTTCTCGGTTTTTATTGTTTCTTGATTTAACGTTCAATATACTACTAGTTGCTCTTTTATCTATAAGGACATGAATTAATTGATTCGCCGTGCCTCTATCCGATGATATACATGTAACCTTAAGGATATTTCGATGCAAGGGAAAGGAAATATTTGTACTAGTGGTAAAATTAAATAGGCAATTTCCATTTTTATTATTTCTATCATACAGCGAATAGTTCCACCTTATTGTTACCATTATTTTTTCTCACTGATTAAGATAGATTTTTTTATTGATTCCGGCCAATCTTAGTCAAATTATTAATTACTATTATACACTACCGTAAAACGCAGAAAATTTCTCATCGACTCTATATGATAAAAATGTTAATATCCCGAAAGTGATAAAAAAAATGATTTTAATATATTCTAATCGATTTTTCTCGTGCACTGATAGATAGAAAGAGCAGAAAATTGCTTTAGTCTTTTGTTCAAATAAAAAAGTCGTATTGAGGAAGATCAACCTACCGTTCTATGTGTAGGGTTGTTTACTAGGCGTGTTTATTGGTCGACGCCGATCGATATTGACCGGACAAAACCCGGATTTAGATAGCCCAAAGTGTTCTTTTTAAATAGATGAAGTTGTTTTTGAATTCAGTTCTATGCACACGAGTTTGAAGTTTGATAATATTGAGGTGTTTGTTGCTATCATCGAAATCACCTCTCGTAAAACTGAAAATTTTATTAAGCACAGTTATTTTTATATTAAACATTTAGGAGTGTTTATTTTAAGTTTGGAAAAGAAAACAAATTTTACAATGGAGGACAATTATATTTAATGACTAGCATATATATCATAGAGTATATGTTACATGTACATATAGATACCATGGTCGTCAGCGAGATTCCAAAAAACGGAAGGGAGATACAACAGAAGCCGTACGGAGTAATAACGTACAAGGCAGAGATGATTGTAGCATAGAAGACCGTTTTTATTCGAATTTTCCATCTCGGAAATTGAATGAAACTTCTTGCTATTTTATTAATTAATTAATATACTAATCATATTTTTTCTCTCAGATCAGGCAACAAATTTCTTAAAAATTGGTCTTAAAATTTTTATTTATGTATTTACCTATTTCTTTTTAATTTATAATATAGAATTTCTCGACAATCTCTTCTATACATTACAAATATATCTGCAATAATTTTCTTTTGTAAATAGCCGATCAAAAAAATAAATACAAATACAAACGAATTTTGTTTTCTACACAGAAAATTTTCGAAAAACGATAAGGTTTGCATCACTTCAAAGGTCCAGTACTACCTTATAATTTAAGATGATATGTCGATTTTGCGTTCGCACAATTTACAATAAGTATTTACAAGTACTTTTTCTCATTTTGGATTCTTCGTTTTGGTTTAAGCCGATACAAGAATTCCGTCTAATATCGTTATATTTAATTCAAAAAATGTTTCAAGAAGGATTTCTTGCACCGGAATTTGGTAAAATTCTTTTTTGGATGATTACTATGGCGTCTCTAATTTATAAAACACCCTTATCGCTACGTTATACGTTCTGAAATGTTGAAATTAACACTAACAAGTACACCTGTTCATGTTTCTATTTATTATTTACGATTCGAACTTTGCACAAAAATATCAATCTTTTAACGAAAAGAATTTGGTTGGTAAAAATATTTTATATAATTGAATTTCAATTCAAGTTCGCCTGGTTTCTAAATATATTTCTAAGCAAGCAAAAACTCGTATGAAGAATAACTCTAAAAAAAAAGGCTACAAAACGCAATCAAATCTACGTCCAAAAGTAAATATATTTAATAAATCACCGGGGAAGAAGAATTGGGCTGTTCCTTTCGTAGATGGCAATCTAATGTAATTTTTTTGTTCTTGTTTCGGACAAACTAATACGGCTCGTGCCTTAGTTTCGGAGATAAACGTGTGTGGGCGGTGGGTTTCCAATCATCTGCTGTTGTTAACGGTGCCACCGCTGCTAAAGGTGGAGGCGATGAACCTGGTTGAGAAGCCGGGGCACTCACGATACTCAAAGCATGCATTATACAAGTTTTAGCTGTTGTGTCTACGTCCATTAAATCTTCCAGTTCTTTTTCGTTTCTGGAATGACTTGAATCTGGCGTACCCGTAAGACCATCACGACCATTTTCCAAGAAATCATGGTCACCATCACCATCGCCGTTTTCTTCTTCACCTTCTACCGTGTCATTTTTATTTTCCTGAAATTAGAAAAATGTTGATTAGGTATACAATTTTTATGGAAGTAAAAAATTTTTAAGGATTTTCTGGGTATAGTTGGGGAAAAAGGAGCACGTTTTAGAGGATTTTTCTGTTGAAGTGGTAATTTTACCGCGTAAGAGCTTGGAAAATCCTCTCTGACGTGCGTCATTAACGCGTCCCCTGTAGCAGAAGAGTAACGACGCCCTCTCAACGTAGGACGTCGCTCTAATTGCGGAGACAAAAGCGAGCCGATCACGTGTCCACGGCCTACTTTATAGCAATTATCGTGCCATCCACGTCGCGATGCGAGTGTCTTAGATAATTGTACCGTTTGTTATGGGATTTGTTGAGTACTTCTTGGATATGTCTAAAAGGTTCTTTTTTCTTTCACTCCAAAAATATACGAGTGACGCGACGCTTTTAACTCTAAGCCGTTTCGACAATGAAACCATCAACGGGGTGATTATACTGAAGAGATGTATAAAAGAGTGATGTTTCAAAAATAATGATAAGGAATTCTTTCGTTTTAGGGATTAAAATGAAATAGGACGTTTTTGAAATAAGGGATCGGTATTCTTCGATTAAAAGAAAACTCAGAGATCAAAAGGGTGTTCGTTGAAGGAAATAACACACGTTTCCATCTTGAATGGGGCCGCAGTCGCTTTGATGTACCACCCTATTTACAGATTAGCGGCCGATACGCGCTACGTACTAAAGACTGCCGAGTGGCAATTTCCACGTTTTTTGTCCGGCACCGTTTTCCATGTAAATACGGGACCGTGCGGCGTTTCGCCTCTATTTCCGCTTGTTTGGACTTCTCTGACTCGAGACCCTTTGGCCAATTGAAAGAGGGCGGCTCGTAATCGAGGTGCACCCGCTAAGAAGAAGAAGAAACGAATGGAAGGAGGACTTCGCCTGCAGCTGACGTGGCGGCCTCTTGTGCGGAAGAGAACAATAACAATTCGCATTCCGAATAATATTGTCCTGGGATGTTTATTTAATCCGGAGAAACGGTCGACTTTGTTCGCGCGAATCGATCGAAATAAATTAAATAGAATGGTTGTTACGGTAAAGTGGCGAAAATGGTTGTTGTAGTTGGAGTTCTCGCCTAACACTAACTACGCTGATTGCATGCATGTAATACTTGTCTCGAAACTACAGAAATTTATTATTATCAATTAATTAACGCCTTAATAGTTATGGTAATCGAATAAAATAGATGAAAATCTTTATTGAACGTGAAGATTATTTTTGGAGTCATTTTTTTGCACATAATACTCTGCGTTTATTACGACATTAGCTCGAACGGTTTGTACGTTTCAATCGTAACTCTGCTTTGATGGCTTAATCTGCCATGTTCTGGGGCAATTACGGATATTGTGTTGATCTTTACAGTTTTTGAACAAGAGCTTTTGCTTTAGGGCTTTTGTATTAGCATTACGATGGTTTTATCTGTGAATTTAAGCGAATGAAACTGTTTCCGACTTCTCGATCAAATTTGTTTTATATCTTAATGACTTCTTTAACTCTGAATGATGTCTGAGAGAGATGGAAATAGAACAATTGGATGAGTTCTGTCGGAAGGTACCGATGTAATTTGTAGAACAATGGCTCTTGATTGTAAAACATTAAGAACTGCTGTACTACAGAGTTTTCTTTTAATCTTTCGATGTCCAAGTTAGGTATGTAAACGTCTCTTGGTCCCTAGCCTGGTATTAATCTGAACAGACAAATGTACTTCAATGGGGTAAATTTTAACATCTACTAATTATGGCAAAAATTCAGTCAAATTCACTCATTATATACCTAATGCGTTAATGATATCGTTACTATTAAAGGGGTGTATTCTCGACATAGAAACGTGTTCAAACATTGCGGTACATCTTTTGAACAATCAACTAGGTACTGTTATTTTGCATGGTTACAGCTATTATTGCAGATTGCATAAAAAACATGATCGTGAGTAAGGCTAAAGGTCCCGCGATACAGAGATTGGAGGAAGACTACTATGAGATTAAGTGATCTCAGGTGATCTTGAGGTGATCTTGAGGTGATCCTCAGGTTTCGCCAACGATGGAGCAAGTCTAAGTTAAACATAACAACATTCTCTGTTACATGATGCACAAACCTTGACACTCGTTGAGCGAAATTTTCTCCCCTCTCTAAGTTTAAATTTTTCAGAATTTCCAGAATCATTTATAAAATGCAGTTACTTTTCAATGAAAGCATCCGTTATGAAAAATCACATTTCTTTTTTGAGACAATAACCTTACAAGTTGAGTAGAATTTTTAGACTTTCAGTTCCTTTTGGCGAACTTGAAATTGTGAAGAATGGTATACTTGGATAGTAGGTTTCATATTTCCAGGAATTACTAAAAATGTATCTATTTAGCAATAAAAGTATCCATTCTGACAATTACTTTAACGTGTATGTCAGCCTTATTCTCAGACAAATATAAATTATCAAGTAGCTATTATTTATCTTGGATTAGCATTATTCCTTGGATAGTCGGGATAGTAGTGATGAATCCGGATAGTCGTCATTCCAAAATCTCTGGAATCTCGTGGAAATATAACCAATCAACGAAATCAAGGTAGAATTAAAAAAGCACTGTAAGCTTATATGCAAGCAACATTGTTGATGAAACTATTTCGGCGTAGAACGGACTCGTTCATATTTTATTCACTTCCAAACATTGCCGATATTTTAGATATACTGGAAAGTATCAACTATTTAACTTTACTTGATATCATCAAATTGGAGTGGAAGCGGAAATCATGAAAAATCGTTTAGTACTGAACAAGGTCATTTTGAATTTAAAAAAATATTTTTTGGTTAAAAAGAAATAAAATTATATCTGAAATACCAAGATGGCAATTGCAACCAATTCTATAAAAAGAGTCAATGAAAACTCCGATTAACATTGTACGTAACAATCAGGACACCATCGTAACCAAGAAGAAAACGAAATTTATTTTTGACGAAGAGTGTCGCCTATATAAAACTATAGCAGCAGAAGAAGAGGACTGAGTGAATTAGAGATCCTAAGAACACGCAAAAATTCTACCAGAATCTAAATATGAATCGAACTAGGACAACAATGTGCGGGGACAAAAAGGGACGAATTCTAACGGAGCAAGACAAAATACTAAAAAGATGGTTTACTATGAAGAAAGACTAGGAACAGAACAAGAAGAACGAAGAAAAGAAGTTTTGCTGAACTCATCAGATAACAGATAGCAAGAAACGCGAAAAAGTAAAATACAATAAAAATAATAAAGCACCAGAATCGGATGACGTCGTCGTAGAACTAATAAAAGAAGGAAAGGATAAGCTGATGCAGACCTTTCATGAACTTGTTACAAGCGTATGGACATCAAAGCGAATACCTGAGGATAAACTTTGCAATAATCCCCTTATAGAAGAAAGGCGATCGACTCGAAGTCATACACAAATCGGAATTATCAACACACAGGAGATTATCAGCAAAAGTGTGAAGATACTAGCTTTTGCTGATGATGTTGATATTATTGCAAGGTCAAGAAGAAACATGATAAAAGCTTTTTGCCTACTAAAGAAAGTAATGAATTAAATCCAAATAAAACAAAATATAACATTTTACAAACCCATTAACAAGATAACTTGTTATAGGAGAGCATAATATCAATACAGTACAGCAATTTATATGCATAGGCTCATTGGTCACTTGGGATAACAACACCGCCGATGTGATCAAACAAATCTTTTAACAAATATAACTTATTACGGTCTGATAACCAAATTAAAATCACTCACTTTACTTAGAAAAACAAAATGTCAAATATATAAAACTTTAATACGACCAATTATGGAGTATAGATCCGCAACTTGGATAATACATGTATCTTAGAGTATTGCTAGCATCGTTGAAAATAAACATTGCTGGATATGGTCCAATTTATACAAATTGGCCGCTTGGGTTGGATGGGTCATATGGATAGAATAACGGATGAAGAAACGCTGGGAAAATGAAGTATCCGATGATGCATGCGAGTCGCTGGGGATGAGAATGTGGCGAAGAGGAGCAGCAGATAGAGGGATAAGGAGGCAGAAACTAAATAAAGGCCAGGTTCAATTTCTGGTGTAGTGCCATAGAAGACAGGAATACAAGACGAAATTTACTTGTCCTAAGAATGCTTAAAATATTTGACAGTAAAATTATTCGAGAAAACCAGCAAGAAGTAGCTCAACGTGGTTATACTTTTCTTTTACAATTTACTTTAATTGAAATGACCACCTTTTAATATTAAAATTAATTCCGATACCCATCCAGCAAGACACTGATTATTTTATTCCAACGTTCCTCAACCTCGTCTAGCAAAAAAGAAAGATAAATACTTTATTATATCCACCAAATGTTCAGAAATCTAACGAATAAGCGTTGTCCAATAGGATCAGAATGAAAGAAGTTGTATGCACCTCCATAAACAATTTACTGAAGAAGCAATTTCATCTTTCCAATTCTCACGGAATTGGGCAAGAAATTTCAGGAACTCAAAAATTACCACTAAGTCAGCTTAGCAAACTCAATTACTTCGCCGAGCCCCACAGATGTTATAATAATCTTACTGACAGCTACAAGATTATTCAGTGTTAATGAAAGTAGAATACCAGAATAGAGAACAAATGGAGATCTCATATTAAAAATGTCAAAATGCAAGAATAGACAAGAAGTTGTAACACTAGACCTAGAAACTTTCGGGTTGCCATGTATCTTTTGAAAAAATGGTTGACGTTTTGGATGCCAAACTTCTCCAGACTCATTTAACGGAAAAGAACCAAGGAAAATTTATGACAGTGTAATACTGATATAGCCGTTATTCCTGGAGTCAATTTATGTGAATTTACGCAATACAATATGTGGATGTTAGAGGGAAGGTAAGTTTTCTCAAAGGAGACAAAAAATGTCCAATTTCGAATAAATTTGAATAAAATAGACAACGATAATGGTGAAATTCA